TGTGTATTTTCACCAAAAAAAAAAAAAAGGTTGAGAAGTTAGTGGGTCGACATGTTGTGGGGTTGTTAACCAATGTCATAAAACAATATGTGTACTACTGGTTCATGAGAAACTATTTGTTCTGTAAGCCTTCACCTGAAGTACAATAAAAAAAATTAAAAAAAAATAGACCAGATTTACTGGCCTGACAGAGACTGGAAAAACCCTGAGAGTACGGCCCCTGGACACCCTTCTAGTTCAGTGGTGAAGTCACTCCCAAGGTTCACCATTCAGGTGGGGACCGGACAGCCCCATAAGAGAAAATGGGACTAATGAGGCACAGCAGTCCAGGGACAAGGACTGGAAGGCAGGAGTGGACAGGAAAGCTGGTGATAGTGAACCCAAGGTTGAGAAGGGACAGTGTTGACATGTCGTGGGGTTGTTAACCATTGTCACAGGGTAATATGTGTATAAACTGTTTAATGAGAAACTATTTGTTCTGTAAACCTTCATCTAAAGAACAACAACAAAAAAAGAATTATCTATGTGAGATCAAATTGACAACAGCAACTCAAAAGGTTTGATGGGAAGCCTAGGGACAGTAAGTTGAAGATAATGGTGATGGAATAATTTGGAAAAGGACAGTGAGAATAGCAGCACAACAGGAAGAATGTAATAGATGTCACTGAATTGTACATGTAGAAGTTTTTGAAATGGTGTATCTTCGGCTATGTATATTTTCACCAAAGAAAAAAAAAGGTCCTCCAAGGTCAAGAGGGGACAGTGTTGACATGTCATGGGGTTGTTAACCAATGTCATAAAACAACACGTGTACTGACTGTTTAATGAGAAACTATTTGTTCTATAAACCTTCATCTAAAGTACAATTAAAAAAAAAAACAAAGAATTTATAACAGAAAAAAAAAAAAAAAAACAGAACAGGGTCCACATTTATAACTAATTGAAAATGGATCAAAGACCTAAATATAAAATCGAAAACGATAAAGATCATGGAAGAAAAAATAGGGTCAACGCTAGAAGCCCTAATATATGGCATAAATAGGAAACAAACAGCAACTAACAATACTCAAACACCAGAAGATAAGCTAGGTAACTGAGATTTTCTAAAAATTAAATACTAAAGCTCATCAAAAGACTTCATCAAAAGAGTAAAAAGAGAATCTACAGACTGGGAAAAAATTTTGGGCTATGACATATCCAACACCTCCACAAGAAAAAGACAAATAATCCAATTAAAAAATGGGCAAAGGATAGGAACAGACACTTCACAAAAGAAGACATTCAGGTGGCTAACAGACACATAAGGAAATGCTCACAATCACTAGCCATTAAAGAAATGCAAATCAAAACTACAATTAGATACCATCTCACCCTTACATTACTGGCACGAATCAAAAAAACAGGCAATACCAAATGTTTGAAAGGCTATGGGAAGAAGACTGGAACTCTTCTGCACTGCTGGTGAGAACGTAAATTGGTACAACCATTTTGGAAAAGGATATGGCTCTTCCTTAAAAAGCTAGAAATAGAAATACAATATGATCCAGCAATCCCAATCCTAGGAATATATCCTAGAGAAATAAGAGCTCTCACACGAATAGATATAAGCACACCCATGTTCACTGCAGCATTATTCACAATAGCAAAAAGTTGGAAACAACCAAAGTGCCCATCAACAGATAAATGGATAAACTATAGTACATACACACAATGGAATACTACACAAGGATAAAGAACAATGATGAATCTTGGAAATATCTCACAACATGGATGAATCTGGAGGGGATTATGCTAAGTGAAATAAGTCAATCACAAAAGGAAAATACTGCATGAGACCACTATTATGAAAATTACACACAAAGAAACAATTTTTGATGGTTATGAGGGAGAGGAGGGGTGGGGAGGAAAAAACACTAACTAGACAATAGATAAGTGGTAACTTTGGTGAAGGGTAAGAAAGTACACAATACAGGGGAAGACAGCACAACTTGACCAAGGCAAAGTCACAGAAGCTTCACAGACACGTCCAAACTCCCTGAGGGGCCAAGTTACTAGGCCGAGGGCTGGGGACCATGGTCTTGGGTGACATCTAGCTCAATGGCATAATAAAACTTGTAAAGAAAATGTTCCATATCCTACTTTGGTGAGCAGTATCTGGGGTATTAAAAGCTTGTGAGTGGCCATCTAAGATACACCTACTGATCCCACCCCCTCTAGAGCAAGGGAGAAAGAAGAAAATCAAAGATACAAGGGGCTAATGGTCCACAACCATCACAGCCTCCACCAGACGGAGTCCAGCACAACTAGATGGTGCTTGGCTATCACCAATGACTGCTCTGACAGAGATCACAACAGAGGATCCTGGACAGAGCTAGAGAAAAATGTAGAACAAAATTCAAACTCACAAAAAAAGACCAGACTTAACTGTTCTGACAGAAACTGGAGAAACGCCAAGAGTGTGGCCCCTGGACACCCTTTTAACTCAGTACTGAGGTCACTCCTGAGGTTCACCCTTCAGCCAAAGATTAGACAGGCCTATAAAATAAACAGTAACACACGTAGTTCAACCATGTATAGAAGACTAAACCGGCACACCAGCCCAGAGGCAAGGACAAGAAGGCAGGAGAGGACAGACAAATGGAAATGCAGAACCCAAGGTCCAGAAGTGAGACTGTTGACACATTGTGGGGTTGGCAACCAATGTCACGAGACAATGTGTGTATTAATTGTTTAATGAGAAACTCATTTGCTCTGTAAACTTTCACTTAAAGCACAATTTAAAAAAAAAGAAGAGACCATTTTAGATGCTAGGGTACTATCACTTAAAAACTGTGAGTCCAAGGTCAAATAATTCATCCTTTCTAAACATCAATTTCCTTATTTGTAAAGTAGGGATAATAGCAGCCTCTACACCTCCATAAGATCCTTTTTAGGATTCAGTGAGCAAATGAAGGTGAAATGCTAAACGCAGTACCTAGCACATAATTAAATATTCAATAAATGTGGATTTATTATTTCTACACATCTTTTCACTTTCATGTCAATTTCCATTTGATACAAATATTTTCCCCATGTGTTGCTTTCTTTGCATTTTGATCAAACATGAAAATAAAGGATGAATAAACAAACAAAAAACCAAACCCACTACCATGGAGTGGATTCTGATTTATAGCGACCCTACAGGACAGAGGAGAACTGCCCCCAAAGGGCTTCCAAGGAGCGGCTGGTGGATTTGAACTGCAGACTTTTCCGTTAGCAGCCCAGCTCTTAACCACTGTGCCACCAGGGCTCCAAAGTAGGAATAGGTTACTCTAGAAGTGCAAAGGAGGAGGTACCTAAGCCTTTCTGGGGAAAAAGGGCAATCAGAAAAGAATTTCACGGGTTAGATACCTCACTTTCCCGCCCCATTCCCAAAATCTCCGCTCTTTACTGAACTTTTTAAAAAGTTTCCATGGGCAGTACCAAAAAAAACCAAACCAAACACGTTGCAGTCGCGTCCATTCCGACTCATAGCGACCCTATACGACAGAGTAGAACTGCCGCCACAGGGTTTCCAAGAAGTAGCTAGGGGATTCGAACTGTCGACCTTTTAGTTAGCAGCTGAGATCCTAACTGCTGGGCCACCAGGGCTCCCCATAGGGAAGGAACTGTCTTACTCAACTTAATACAAGATAAAGAGTGGGAGGAACAAATGAATGATATTGTCTAGCACAATTCCAATTTCCACTATGATCATTCTCAATAATCAGATCACTGGACCTGAATGGAACTTTAGACCTCATCCAGTACAAACTTACTTTTACAAATTTATAAGAAACTGAAGCCCAGAGTTGATAAGTGACTTGCCCAACGTTGGACAGTGAAGGAGCTCAACTGGATGCTTGAAACAAAGTCCATGAGTTCTCCAGTGAGTTTATATAAACTCACCGTATTAATAAGACACCGGAAGACGTTAGGACTCTTACCCATTCTCAGTGTTAACCATATTTCAATTATTTCCATGTTTCCAAATACGTAAATATAGCTACATCACCTAAATACAGCTCACAACCTATGAAATCTGTCAAATGCCTTGGCGAATCAGAATTAAAGTGGACAATGGCTAACCGATGAATACGGCTGGAAGAGGAGTACAGGTGGACAGAGGGTACCAAGTAACGGAAACTACTCACGGAAAAGACAAGTTTATACCCAGAAAAAAAAGGAAAACATAAAAGGTCATTGGGTCACATAACATCGACTCTTCTTGCTCACAGAGGGTCCCAGTAAACAGCAATACCTGGGGAGGAGATACCTACCGCATTTCGTGATTCAGGGGATACTGCCGCCACTGCATAAAACGAACCGAGCAACCTCTTCTGAGGGCAGAGAACCCGCACAGAAAAACGCTGAAGCATGAAAAGCGCGGGTCAATGAGCGCTCGTCTTTGTGTCACAGCAAAGGATGCCCGCTGGAAACATCCTCTCAGCAATGAAGGATCCGTGGAGGGTGGCGGAAGGGGTCTTCGCCTCAAATCGCATCCAGTCGCTGCCGTGTGCAACACAGGAACCTGTCTACGATTCTGGCCATAACAGCCCTCCTTCTCCCCGATAAAGGCTAGACCGAGCGGTCTCTGTTTGATCTCGAGTGAAGTTCCCTAGGTTTCTAGACGGACCGTTTGAGGATGTGCTCTGCATCTTATTTCCGGTAGTTGAGAGAAGCAGTTGCCATGGTAATTAGAGAAAGGCCAAAATCGGTCCCGCGGCGGAGAGAGGATCGCGGAATCGCTAAAAGAGAATTGGCTGCGCTTCCTTGTTTGAGAGGTGTAATTAGGTAGCAAACGGCTCGCTGTCTCACTGCCTTCGTCCCCCGCCCCCCTCCGCCCGTCACTGTTTTGCTTCCTCTTCTACTTGCTGCCTTTACTTCTTTCTCATACTAACAATTAGTGTCTGTATGTACCAACAATGTACATATAAATGTAGTTCTATGCCCAGAGGAAGACCAAAGTAGATACTGTCCGAGATTAGCTGTGAGCGTGTTTGACTGTGTAGAGATGGTGATTGGATGGCTCTCTGTTTTCGCTTGGCCTTTTGGAAGCCTCAGGCGCTTGTTAACAGTTTATTTTTCTTGCTATTATGTGGCTGGTTATTTATGGAGCCTTTTGTTGCAGTGTGCCCTCTAGGTCCCTGTCTTGGTCTTGGGCTGGAGTTGTAGATGAAGGAGGTTTCCAGGCCTGAGGGGTGCAATTATATATTTATTTTAAGCTTCAGTTTAGTCTTTCGTTAGAGAAAAGGGAAGAATAGAATTCTGCAACATTTCTGTCGTGGAATTTCCACGTGAGGGAGCCACCTTATTTTGAAAGAGTATTCCAGAACTATCCTAAAAAATACTTACATTTTAAAATTACTTGCTGTAAAGTGAGCATTCATTTCCTTTCCTTATTGGAAGTTTTCTTGCACGGTTTTGAGGAGACGTGTGCAGGCATATGTGTTTAAAACACTGATGCTTAATTATAGTGATACCAATTTGCAGTAACCAGTCTGTGACACCACATCCCTATGGGGTCCTTCTAAATCTGGTGTAATATGAAGGTGTCAGGCAGGCGGTCTGTGTATTATAAATAGGGTACTTCATCCATGATAAGCGATTATTATCTTTCTTTCCCTAGTGTAAAAGACCTATATAATTCAAGCAGGTGCAAGTGATTTAGGCCTCCTGAGTAAGAATCCAATGAGTCCTGAAGGAGACCCTAACTGTGTCGTCTTATTGTTGAACTTGAAGTATTCAATTTATTAGGTTGGAATGTATTTTTAGAAGTCAAAGCTGGGTAAAGTAATGTTGGAAGCTGTAAGACCACCAGCACAGTTTAGTGCCCTATAGTAAGCATTGTCCACGAAGCCTTCATCCAGTTTAATAAAAAAGAAACTGTTAACAGAATTTATTGCCTTTGCCACTTACTACAAGCTGGGTGGCATCTCTGTCCCTCAATTTCCTCATCTGTAAAAGGGACAAAAAATATATGACCGCTGTAGTAGGGATAAAACAAGATGTATGACATTTCTGTAAGCCCTAATAAGCAGAGCTGCTATATAAATCCAACATTATTATTATTAATAATGGAACACAGTAAAATTTTGTTATGATAATGTTAGAAATAGAATTTTTTTTAATTTCAGTCATTTAAAATGTGGGGCTGCATTACTGAGATGCTAAGGAAACCCTGGTGGCGTAGAGGTTAAGAGCTATGGTTGCTAACCAAAAGGTGGGCAGTTCGAATCCCCTAGGCCCTCCTTGGAAACCCTATGGGGCAGTTCTCCTCTGTCCTGTAGGGTTGCTATGGATCGGAATTGACTCGACTGCAGTGGGTTTTGGGTTAGTGAGATGATCTGGTTGATTCTGCTGTGGAGCATAGGTGCCAACTGCCAATCAGATTATATCAACTTCTCATTATTGTGGAGTTTCACTCTATCTATGGTTTATTTAGCAGTTATATGCCAGGTACTGTTCTATATGATTAACTTATTTAATCTTCATAACAACCCTATGAAGAGTCTCATCTGACTGTTCTCTTATTTTGACAGAAAAGATGTGTGCCTTTCCTTTGTTCTATGATTCTTTTTTGGTATTATGTTATACCTTTGTTCTTTTGGCTATTAATCACATGCTTGATATAGATAGATAGATACATAGATATTAAAAAACCCACTAGAAATCAACTGACAAAGGCTTATTCTAATTGAACATATTATAATACTTTTTTCATTCTTTTTTTAATAATGTTCTTTTTTTTTTACATATAAAAAATTTAAGTCTTTATTTTTCCTCCATTTGAAAGGCAAGGTGACATTTGCACTTCAGGAGATTAACATTGACTAAAAACAGAGCGCTGGTGGCGCAGTGGTTAAGAGTTGGCTACTAACCAGAAGGTTGGCAATTCAAATCCACCAGCCACTCCTTGGAAATCCTATGGGGCATTTCTGCTCTGTCCTATAGGGTTGCTATGAGTTGGAATCAACTTGACGGCAATGGGTTTGGTTTTTTGTTTTTGAAACAAATTTTTAAATTATTTTCTAACAGAATGGCCAGCAGTCCGGGAAGTGATGCAGCTTTCTCCAGTCAGAAATCTACGCTTTCAGAGAGTCCTCGAACAAGGAAATTTCCATTAACTGAAGAAGAGATATTTTATATGAATTGTAGAGCTGCCTACCTAACTGTTTTCAAAAGCAGCTTAGAAAACATTATTTCAAAGGATCAACTTTATTTAGGTAATTTTTTTAATTTATGTATTTTACCTTACTTATTGAAAGTTAATAGATCAGAAGACTTGAATTAGGATTGCGTTGCTGAATCATTCCAATTTCTTAGTGACGCTTGAGCAATGCAACTGCATTAAGCTGTTGTGCCATTTTAGATAATTACATTTTCTAGGAGACTCAGAATAAAACTTTCAATGTTTATACAGGCTAGATTAGTATTTTTAATGCTTCTATCAATTATTTGCTTTTAAAAAGTATCTTTTCACTTCTATTTTGGTACTTTAAGTTCATAATAATAAAATTAAAACACTTTCCGATTCTGAATCACTAGTCTGAATTTGACCTATACTGGGGAAAGTGTAAATGATACATAAAAATGGGTTGCATGATTATAAAAGAGAAGTATTAGGAGATAAGTGAAATTTTGAAAGAGTTAGGAGTTGTAGGGTTTGTTGTTGTTTATCCCTTATTGCTTTCCTCCATTATCACGTCTTAAAATTCCTTTGCTTGCAAAGTCCCCCAACCCACTGAATTTGGTACTTGCCAGGTGTGTCAAATAACTCAGAGGTCTTTCTGGTTTTTAGATGGTGGTAAATAACATTACCAGGTAACACTCACTACTCATGTCAATTTCATCAAGGCTAATAACTTTGTGAGTAGAGAAACTTATTTTTCCAACTTTAGAATCAGTTATCTCTGACATGTTCTTGCAACAGGGTCTTGGGTTTGTACTCAGAAGATCTTTATTTGAAGAAATCCATTTTGGGGACTATGAGAAGTGAAAAGACTAATTCAAATGTATTTGATGCCTAAATAAAAGGTATTATTTGTAAAATAGCTTTAATGCAAATACATATGACTAGTTAAAGTGATTATTTGAGTTATGTTTATTTTTAGTTTGATTTATATAATTTTAAAATTAATAAAACAGTCTTAATTTTTAACTATTACTGTTTAATATATATTAAATGGTGTAGACAGAAATTCAGTAAATTAAAATTACTTCTGAGTAATTTGCCATTATTTCTGAAATTTCTGAATTTCTTCTCTATTCTTTTGAAGATAGGCTGAGATCACTAATAAGTTTTAAAATTTCACATGCCCTCTCCTGCTATGGCATTTAGTTTATAAATCAATAAGTATGTATTACTAAGGTGCTATCAGTCTTATGGAATTTTCTGAGAGGATAATACAGTGTTTATCTCTTTAGTGTTATATATACTTTTGGTTTTATGATGGAACACTCTTTGTAACATTGTAGTAATTGATCTCAGATCAGCTAGATTTAAAAAAAAGATACTGTAGTATGAACCAGTGACATCACTTTCTTACTATTATATCTTTCATCTGTATCCTTCTGCCACTTACGCACGTAACATGGGCTCATGGGCTCTGACGTTTCCATTTCAATGTCGAATAGAGCAGCATTGCTACCAGAGTTTGAGAGTTATTTTTTTTTCCAACTTATAAATAATATAGGTATTATAGGCTTATGTCAAAGCCTACAGTAAGCCCTGGCAGATGATCAATATTTTGGTGTCAGTCTTTAAACATCTACAGTTACATGATGTTTTTACTGTCATGAAAGTCGTAGTAATTGACTCCAACTAATTCTAAACCTAGAGATTAAAGTTAAGTTGGTAGTTACTAGAATGCACCAATTTCTTAGATATAGGAATGTCTACTTATGGAATATGTGTTTTTGGCATAATTAATTTTATTCTAAGAAAGTTATTTTTCTGTAATTAACAGTGCATTTTAAAAAGCATTATTTCCTTTGTTACTGAAGATGGAAACAAGTATGTGCTGAACTGCCACTTGTGGGAAAGAGTTACATGCCTATTTTCCCAAAGCTGGGTGGAAAATACCATTTCTTTCACAGGGACTTTTGACCTTCAAATTACAACTTCATTTAGGTCCTGTTTGTATTCCCAGGTTTCAATGGCTGAAGATTGCCTAGGGATAAAGTCCTAAACCACATATGCATTTTCCCTGATTCTCTTAATAGATGAATTAGGAATAGTCTATTTACACTCTAAGGAAAATACTTGCTTACCTTTTATTTCTAGGGCAGCATGGTAATCGGGGCTTTTGTCTACATCCAAAATAAACCTGTGCAAATAAAAAACATATACTAGTGCCACTGCTACAAATTTCCCCAAAGCTTTCTAGGTGAATAGAAGATGGCAGTTACTACAGCTCCTACTTCTGTTAGGTCTGAAAGCCACCTCTAGATTATCTTCTTGTTCCTGTTTCTGTGCCAAAATGTAAGTTATCTAGGTACGCTAAACTAGCATAATCTGGAGGATAACAAAATATCTCTTAGTCTATGGGCTTCTAATATGTTATTAACCATAAGTCATGACCACGGGGATCAATTTTACCCTTCATGTGTGGACTTCTTATTTAGATTATAAACTTTTTTAGCAACCAGGAACTTTGTATCTCTGAAAAAAGTCACAGTATATTATGCTTGTGCACAATGAAAGTTCAAAGTATTTGACTCATAAAGGTCTGTATTTATTACCCTAATCTGGTTTTTATTTCCTTGAGAACATTTCTTTAGTTAAATTGTTTTATATTTATTAATCCTTATTACATTAAATTGTAGAATATCTAGATTATCGTTTTTAGTGTTGATTTGACAATGTATAGATCTTTGAAATCCTACCTAAGATAGCTGGCAATATGCAGTAACCTACTCCTTACTTGTTGACTATCTCGTTATCTGACATTTAGTGTTTACAACAATAGTAAAAAATCTACTATATAACTATTTTGCACATTAACGACGTACATCTGGAAGTAACGAACGCCAATGTGCAATGCAAGAGTAATGCTGGCTGTGATGGTTAAGGTTTTATGTCAGTTTGGCTGGGCTATGATTCTCAGTGGTTTGGCAGTTATGTAATTTGGCAGTTATGTAATGATGTAATTTGGCAGTTACATAATGATGTAGTCATCTTCCATTTTGTGATCTGATGTGATCATCCTCCATTTTCACCTAATGCCAATTTTCGCATGATGAACTGGTCTTTGGAACCTAACCATGTCGATAAGTGAGGATTGAGTGTATAAGATTTTACGGTAGAAGTTAGTAGCACAATGCAGTACAGCTATACCTTTGAAAATTCTGCTAATTCCTTCTGTGGTACTTAGGAAACTTATCACTGGGGCAGGGAAACTAGAGTACTGGAGATAGTACAACCAGAACGGAAGGAATGAGAATGATGACACATTGTGAAAAATTTAACCAGTATCACTGAATAATTTATGTAGAAATTGTTAAATGGAAACCTAATTTACTGTGTAAATTTTCACCTGAAACACGGTAAAATATTATTTAAAATAATAAAAATATGGTGAATGGTTGTTTTTAACCTTTTTTTTTCTCTCCAAGAGCTCTTAAGAAATAAAACATATTATCAGTTAATTAAACCATGTAGGCTGAGAACAAAACTGTCAGAATAAAAAAGTCTCTTTAATTCTTCTATTATTGCTGGCATTAATAAATCAAGAATCTTTAGCTGGTGACACATACATACATTTTTGTTTTTGAAAGTTAGGAATACATTGCTATCACCACAGGTAATGTATTGGTATGTGTGTGCATTTGTTTAATATCATCATATATAATGATTTAAAGAAAAAAAATAGACTTAAATAACAATTCCAAATGTTACTATAACAAATAATACTTGTTTATTGGGCAGCTCTTCAGCATGCAGGAAGAAATCCATCCCAAAAGACCATTAATAAGTACTGGACTCCTCAAACTGCCAAACTGAATTTTGATGATTTTTGTATAATTTTAAGGAAGGAAAAACCTACTTCAAAAGCAGAACTACTAAAATCATTTAAGAAGTTAGATGTAAATGATGTTGGCTCTATTTTACACACTGATCTTTATAAAATTCTAACAAAGGTAAGATCTGGGAAACAGTTTTGTAATGTACATATTCTGTAAAACAACTTGGAATCTAGCTTTGGCTACTTCCAGAGTCTACATTAAAAATAACTATTTCATTGGCAGGTGACATGAGTCACATATATGTTGTTTATGAAGTACTTAGGGATCCTCCTGAATGAAAGGTGCTTTATAAAAAAAAGATAAAGTATAAAACTGGGCCCATGTTGCAATTCCCTTGTGCTCCTATGCCGTTCTTTCCTGCCCACAATTCTTTGGTCATCAGTGATAGGTCCATATGTGTTTTGTAAAAGAGAAACAGTATGAATGGGATTAGAAACCCATTCTGTTTCTTGGTTCAATGTTAGTAAATATCATAGCAGTTATTACTGGATCTATGATATACAATTCTTGAAATTTAGTAAATTGAATTTCAGCACACTTTCAGAAAATTTAATAAAATTGGAATTTTCATTTTATATAACAGCCTCATTCTTCTTGACATAATACTCATTCTGAGATTTATAAATGAAACCATATATTCAAACTTGATGAAAAGATTAAAATTCATTTATGCTATCCCGATGAATAGCAAAGTGGTAGTCATGTTGCTTTAAAATGAATCTTGTTTTTTCAGAGAGGTGAGAAGATGACTCGAGAAGAAGTAAATGCCGTTATAAATTTGGCTGATGTAAATACTGATGGCAAGTTTGATTACCTCAAGGTACATAATTTCATACTCAGCTACATTTGTGTACTGTGCAGGGAAAATATTTTTAAAGAGATGCATCTTTTTGATATTGACAACAATGTACTTACGTATTGGGTACTAATTGTACTTGAAATTTAATCTCTCCAGGCCCAGAACTGTAATCTGACATAGCTACATTAAAAACAGCATAACAGAGTTAAAATACACACACATGCAGAGTCTCCTCAAAAATGTGCTTTTTCCCGGGTGGGTGAATCATAAAAATTATTTACAACAACTGCGAGTCTACACATTTTGTAAAAAAAATAAATAAATCACTTCTCCTTGTATAACATTTTATTTTTACTCAGAGTGTGACCTCCTCATTGAATCATGGCTGCATTTCACTAGGCCACTTGAGGGTGGTCAGTCTGATTCAAGAAAATAAAATGAGTAACCCAGTTCAATAGGAAATATATTCCATCTATCAGTCTTTCCCTTGCCTACTAATGTGCGTTTGTCTTTTCCTTCTCCCAAATGTATGACTGAATGTTTTACCCACTGGACTACTTGTTTATTTCCTATAGTTTTGTAAATTATATATGACCACCAATGAGCAATGTCTCAAGACTACACTAGAAAAACTGGAAATTGACAGTAAACTGAGGCGTCAACAGTTTGGAAGCCACATTGAAGGGTCGCCTGAAAGGGACCCATCACCAGTACCAAAACCATCGCCTAGAATCATAAGAAAAACTGATCAGGAAACATTCTCAAATAAAGGTATTTACTTTTAACACTAAGGATTTCTTGATCAGAAGTGGAGGATCATATTCAGATAAATTTCCCCTTCCATCTTAGCTTATTAATAAAACAGACGGGAATCCACGTTTTGTTAGCTGCTGCTTCTAGACTTTTAGCTGTAAAAGTCTATGAAGTAAAATTTTATTATGGAATTTGACTTGGCTATGCTCATTATATTTTATTTAAAAGTAAAATTTCAGACTAAAAGGTGACATATTGAAGTAAGGAGTCTTATTAGTAGCCATAAATTAGGAACTATTAAAGACGGATAAATATAAAACTTCTTTATTTCAGTAGGAAGAACAAGAAGAACAAAACCAATACTTAGACCTTTCATACTATACTATGTTTTGAAACAAACTTCCTATTGACAGCCTTTCGTAATGTCAGCCCAAATAACTATTGCTCGTTCCAGGTGACGCCAGGAGTTCTCTGCTGTCAACAACTAAAAAGTTCAAAACATCTGTTTCCTTCACAATTACCATGGGTGTTAATAGTAGCCGAAACTCAAAGTTAACTGAGCCAAACTCAGTAAAGGTATAGTATTTTAAATTAAGGTAATAGATGTGACCTTTTCTGAAAAAAAAAATTGACATTGATTATTAATAGCTATTCAGTGTCTACCAAGAACCAGTAAAGTTTGTGAAGTAATTCTTTGAGATTTTTCTGTGGATTGCAGCATTTATACATGTAAGCCAGTTGTAATACTTTTAAAGTAAAAACAATAACAATATTATTATAAGATTTTCAGTTTGAAAATGAGTCTTAAATTTTTGAGCTTGATGACTAAATTATATAATTATACATTTTGACCAGCATATTTATTTTGTTTAAAAAATACTTTCTATAGATGTTTCTTATAAATAAATCATTCGTTTAGTATCAATTCTTATGAGAGAAAGACAACAAAGTCACTTTGCTAAGTCAATATTTGTAGAGTTAATATTGATCTTCTTTTGTTTTCCCTTTCTAGACTCAACCTTTTTTTCTTTCAACAGAAAATAATAGCTACAGAAATATAAAACATTAACTGGAAACTGCTAGGATACATTAAAAATGTGCACCTAGAGACCTCTGTAAAAGGGGGAAAAATGGTTATGACCACATACTATAACTGCTATTAGAAAACTGAACTGATTGTCCTCAAGAGCTACATTTTTGTTTCAAATAACAACTCTGTATTTGTTATTGAACTCTAAAGTCCCTTATATCTTTAAATTGCTAGACAGTGACATTTGTTCTATGTTAAAATTTTAAAACACTATCTCCAAGGAATTTTGTTCAGACTGTTTAGGAATCTATATACCCTAAGCAATTTGGTGTGCATGCCCAACATGTTCATATACAATATTTAGTGTCCCAACAATATTATTCTCCACCAATGGAACCTTTTGGATTTTGCAGTTTATTAGGCACCTTAAAATTCTTCCAGCCTCTACCGATTACCCAATTCCAAAACCACTTTCACATTTTAGGTAACTGTTAGAGCAGCACCCCATTCTTCTGGTACCAAAACTCTGTCTTAGTTATCTAGTGCTGCTATAGCAGAAATACCACCAGTGGATGGCTTTAACAAACAAATTTATTTTCTCACAGTTTGTTGTTGTTGTTAAGTGCCATCAAGTCAATTCTGACTCATAGCAACCTTATGTACCACAGAACAAAACACTGCCCAGTCCTATGCCATCCTCACAATCGTTTCTATGTTTGAGCCTGTTGTTGCAGCCACTGTGTCAATCCATCTCATCGAGGGTTTTCCTCTTTTTTGCTGACCCTGTACTTTACCAAGCATGATGTCCTTCTGCAGGGACTGGTCCCTCCTGATAACATGTCCAAAGTATGTAAGACCAAGTCTCGTCATCCTTACTTCTAATGAGCATTCTGCCTGTACTTCTTTCAAGGTAGATTTGTTCCTTCTTCTGGAAGTTCATAGTATATTCAATATTCCTCACCAAAACCATAATTCAAAGGCATCAGTTCTTCTTCGGTCTTCCTTGTTCATTGTCCAGATCTCACATGCATGTGAGGCGACTGAAAACATCATACTTTGGGTCAGGTGCACCTTTGTCCTTAAAAGTGACATCTTTGCTTTTCAACACTTTAAAAGAGATCTTTTGTAGCAGATTTGCCCAATGCAATACGTCATTTGACTTCTTGACTGCTGCTTCCGTGGGCGTTGATTGTGGATGCAAGTAAAATGAAATACTTTACAACTTCAATCTTTTCTCCGTTTATCGTGATGTTGTTTATTGGTCTAGTTGTGAGGAATTTTTCTTTATGTTGAGGTGTAATTCATACTGAAGGCTGTGGTCTTTGATCTTATATCAATAAGTGCTTCAAGTCCTCTTCACTTTCAGCAAGCAAGGTTGTGTCACCTGCATATTACAGATTGTTAATGAGTCTCCCTCCAATCCTGATGCCCTGTTCTTCATACAATCCAGTTTCTCGGATTATTTGCTCAGTTTACAGATTGAATAAGTATGGTGAAAGGATTCAATCCTGATGTACATCTTTCCTTACTTTAAATCACACAGTATCCCCTTGTTCTGTTTGAACGACTGTCTCTTGGCCTATGTATGGTTTCCTCATGAGCACAATTAAGTGTTCTGGAATTCCCATTCTTCACAATGTTATTCATAATTTGTTAATGATTCCACACAGTCGAATTCCTTTGCATCGTCAATAAAACACAGTTTAGAAGGCTAGAAGTCCAAATTCAGAGCACGAGCTCTAGGGGAGGGCTTTCTCTCTGTCTGCTCTGGAGGAAGGCCCTTGTCTCTTCAGCTTCTGCTACCTGGTTCCTTGGAGATCTCCATGTGTCTTGGCATTTCTTACCCCATTTCTCCTCTGCTTGCTTGTTTAATCTTTTACATCTCAAAAGAGATTGATTCAAGACACACCTTATGCTAATCCTGCTTTATTCACATAACAAAGACAACCCATTCTCAAATGGGATTATAACTACAGGCATATCAAAAACCAATCCTGTTGCCATGCAGTCGATTCCAACTCATAGCAACCCCGTAGGACAGAGTAGAACTGCCCCATAGGGTTTCCAAGGATTGGCTGGTGGACTTGAATTGCCGACCCTTTTGTTAGCAGCCATAGCTCTTAACCACTGTGCCACCAGTGCTCCACCACAGATAATAGAGTTTAGGATTTAACACATATTTCGGGGGGACATAATTCAATCTATAACACCAATCATGACTAGAATTAGAGGAAGCCCCAAACCATGTGTTGTAAACTCTAGAGATGCAATACTTCCATTATCCAGATACCTATTTAGACTATGCCTACTTACATGTTTTTCATATGCGTGTGTATGTGTATGTTGTATAACATGTTTGTTACATAACCCAAACCAAACCCACTGATCTCGAGTCAATTCCGACTCATATAGACATATATATAAATATAAATACATACATTTTAAACTCAAAATAGTTAACAGTATTAAGTTACCATTAATTTTTGTGACGGCTGCAAAGAAGAATTTTGTTACAAAAGTTTTCTCACATTTTCAAACTATTGATCAATCTGCCAATTAAATTAAATTTTACTTTCATGAATCTATTTAACTTTTTGTTTTTAAGATGTACAGTTTATAATTCTATAGCAAAAGGTTCAATAATGGTCTATTTACCTCCTTGTCTTAGCAACACACAGAAAAGCAAGTAGCTATCTAATAAGTACGTGACATAGGGTATCATTATAAAAAAATGATAATAGTGGTGATGTTGAAGATGATAATGTGTAAGCTCCTCCTCTGACTAATCTATGGAGTATATGCTGCTTAATAATTCTGCCTCACCTTAAATTTTAGTAGTAGTACAGAATTCATATGCCAGAACAAATCACATTCACTACCGTGTTCTAAGAAAGATGTAACTTTACTGATACACTTAAGTGTTTTGATAGAATTTTATACTTTATTATCTAGTTGTAATTGTGCTTTTCAGCATTTCCTTATATATTATGAATGAAAATAAATAAAATTTGTATATAACAAATAAGTGAGTTAACACATCTGGTTGGGTTTATATGAATTTACCTGAATTGGTAGAGTATAGCACCACCTCATGCCCTATATAAATATTACAAGCTACTACTTAATATCTGCTTTATATTGTCAAGAAATTATGCATGGAATTTCTTACTCTATCATTCTAAAAATTAAAAAAAATCTTAACCTTATTTCATTTTGCTCATAATACTCAAACTATCAACTTAATCTATAATCCTTTCAAACTGATTTATTTGAATGAGGCAGCCAAGTTGTCAGCAATTTTTTCCTTTAATTCATAGCATTTTAGTCTAGGTCCTAGAGAAAAAGCTGTGTGTGACTGAAAGTCCGTTTGCTTTAAAAAAAATTTTATGTTGCGTAAGCATTGTGTGTTTGATAACTCTGGCAGATCTTAAGAAATTGAATGGTTTTTTAAAAGGTAGAGCTACAAATTCTCCTAGTATTTAGTATTCAAAATAATGTGATTGTTACACTGAAGTTTGGTTAATTATAAATAATGTGGCCTTTGTCTTCTGTTTTATAATAACTGTTGTTCTATCATTTTCCAGCCTTACGAACCCATACTTAATATTGTAATATGCAGGTTGGCTGTCTTTCAAAAGAAACTTAGAAATTCCCTTCTACCTGTAGCATTATTTTCTAGAATGGAAACTTAGGAAACACTTAGAATAAAAATGTTTATTTAACTTGCTCCCCAACTGAACTTTATAAAGATACCTGTCAGGCCATGGCACTGCCCCTAGAAGTACGATCAGCACGTGGAAAAAATCTTCCATTCTTAAGTCTTTAAATACCATAAATTATGTTCACTACCAGTGTATCAGGCAAAGTACATTAGTTTTTAGAGTTTGATTTATACATTTTTTTAAACTAGGGGGCTGCTGTGCCCATGATTACAATACAAATTTAAGAAATTTTCCAGCTACTAAAATCTGTATTTTTTTAGTAAGAAAACCAAATAGTTATGTTTATCATAACACTTTCAATATATGGAGAATTCATAAGGATAATGATTTATGATACTTTATTATAATAATAAAAATACAGTTTCTCTTAAAAACTGACTTTTTAAAAGACCTTGGCAGATGTTTAAATGGGAAATAGAATAGAACTTAGAACACCATAACTGGTAGACTGGAAAATAAGGAGGCCTAGCTTCTAGCTCTAGTTCTGTAATCAGCAAGAATTATGATATTAAGCATATCACTTTTTCTTTTAGTTTCCTCACAAATCCAAAGAGAAGTATTTTTAGATTCTTTATACCTTTAATATTCTGTAATTCTAAACTAGGTTCCCTTACCCTTACAGATGGGTAAATAGAAAAAATATATTCATAAAATAGATGAAATTCCATCTGATAATGTTATAGTCAGAATTAATTAAAAGGAAAACATTTTAAGTATTATATCAGAATCATAGTTCAAGCTGTGTCAAAGGGTAACTTGTCCAAATACTGTGTGAGTATATCTTTCTTTTGGCAGTCATCATGGTCCAAAGTCATGTTGATTAGGTTAGGACCAATTGGCTCTGAGGTAATGTCAGCATCTATTGTTAGTCTATATATGTTCCCAACCAAGAAACTTACAGGGAAGCTAAATGAAGTTCAGTGGATACTTTTACTCAGCATTAATAGTTAAACTTTTGACTCAAGCCCAAGTTTGAACCTCATTGTGTTATAGAGACTTAATAAAAATTTTGAAATTGATTCCCTGAGTTTTCTTTTGGAAATACAATCTAATGGTGAAAGCATTAATCCAAAAGTCTTTGACTTTTGACCTAATAATTTCTACATATTCCTTGTAAAACCTGTGAACCCATATAACCTTTGGGTACTTCAATTTCTCTGTTTATTAAAGTGACTAATTTATATTTGTCCTATATTGCCTCATAGAGATATTATTGAAATATTACATATAATGACTTGTTTCTGTCATGGGCGATATACTTATGAAGATGAATTCTAATAATTTATGGTCACGTCTTAATTTCTCGGAATTAAAGATACACATTTTTTATACCCCAGAGATGCGGCAGTGTATATAATTAATGCCTGACTGAATGCTAGTACAACTGCCTCGCAGTAATGGTAAAATCTTAAAATTCAGTTAAAGAAATCTCCAAAGAAAAGATGAATGTAAAAATGGAAAACAAGTTGATAAATAACCAAAACTAAAGTAAAAGGAAATACAGAAAATACATGCATCAAAGCTTACAAAAGTGGTTAATGTCTAAAATAGTCAAGGAATTTATTAAAATATGTAAGAAAATTCCAAGTTTTCAATAGAGTAATGAGGATAGGAGATGAATAGGCTGTTCACACAAGAGGAAATAAAAATAATAAACACATGGGAAGTGTTCAGCCTTGCTAGTAATCAGAGAAGCTCAAATCAGTGTAAAAATTGTTGTTGTTAGATGCCGTCAAGTCGATTCCAACTCACAGTGACCCTATGTACAATAGAACAAAACACTGCCCAGTCCTGTGCCATCCTCACAACCTTTGCTATGCTTGAGCCCATTGTTGCAGCCACTGTGTCAGTTCTTCTCGTTGAGGGTCTTCCTCTTTTTCGATGACCCTCTACTTTACCAACCATGATGTCCTTCTTCAGGGACTAGTTCCTCCCGATAACATGTCCAGAGTACATGAGATGAAGTCTCGTCGTCATCGCTTCTAAGGACCATTCTGGCTGTACTTCTTCCAAGACAGATTTGTTCATTCTCTGGCAGTCCATGGTATATTCAGTATTCTTTGCCAACACCATAACTCACAGGCATCAGTTCTTCTTAGGTCTTGCTTATTCATTGTCCAGCTTTCGCATGCATATGAGGCGATTGAAAATACCATGGCTTGGGTCAGGCTTACCTTAGTCCTTAAAGTGACATCCTTGCTTTTCAACACTTTAAAGAGGTCTTTTGCAGCAGATTTGCCCAACACATTATGTCGTCTGATTTCTTGACTGCTGCTTCCGTGAGCATTGATTGTGGATCCAAGTAAAATGAAATCCTTGACAACTTCAATATTTTCTCCATTTATCATGATGTTAAAAATTATTACAATACCGTTTTTTTATTATGAAATACTTCAGGCATACCAAAATACATTGAATACAATAATGAATGTTTCATGTGTCCACCCCTTGCTTAAGTAATTTCCCTACCCCCACCACCTAATTTAGTTCATGATAACAATGCTGACCAATTAATGGCAAGGGTAAAACTGTTACATTCATGCCCCATTGGTGGAATTGTAAAATTGGCACAACTGTTTTATAAAGCAATTTGGGAATATATGTCAGTAGTCTGGAGCCCTGGTGGCACAGTGGTTAAGAGCTGGGCTGCTAACCAAAAGGTTGGCAGTTTGACTCCACCAGCTGCTCCTTGGAAATCCTATAAGGTCGCTGTGAGTCAGAATTGACTCAATGGCAACGGTTAGTAGTCTTAAAAATATATGTGCCCTTTGCCTGGAAGTTGTTCTCAAGGAAGTAATGCATCAGAAAAAAAACATGTAGACAAAATGGTATTCATTTTAGCATTATCTATAATGATGAAAAATTGGAAATGACCTAAATGTCAAAAATTTTGGAAGTAATTAATATAAATTATGGTGTGTCAACTTAACAGATAATCATAGAATCAATTCTATAAAAATTTGAATATTGCATAGCAAAATGTGTTTGGTATAACATTAAATGAAAAAGTAGAGTATAAAATGGGGTTAATTAAAATGTAAAAATAGATTTCTATATAAGGCCACTGTTAAAAAGTATTACATAAAAACAATCTAGGATGGTAGAATTATAGCAACTGTTTTCTGTTTTTAAATTTCTAATTTTAAAATGTATTTTGTTCTCAGGAAACTAATATAAAATATTAAAATAATTCTGACTTATAGAAAAATGATGTGTCAGCACATTTAGGAGAATTTAGCCTTAAAAAAAGTGTAAATATCTCAGTATAAATTATGTTTGGTCTTGTCTTTTCAGTGCCATAATAATTCTTTCTGTAATGGATTAATAATATTTTTGATGTTATTGTGATGCAGCTAATGGGCACCTTTTCTCAGTAGTTACCTTAATATTACTACAGCCTTAAATTTATCATCTAAATATCCTTACACATAATTTTTCAAAATCATCATGTATAAAGTCACATCAAAGCTTTATTAATATGCTGTTTTTGGAAGTTATTAGAGCTTGTTACAAGTGGGCAGGCCTACTAGTGTTAAAGTGAAAAGCATTTTTGCAAACATCTGTGCTAATTTCCCCTAACTTCAATAAAGAATCCCTTACCATCTACCCAAGGTACCATCTTCAAGTGTTACTTAATTCTGGTCCTGAGCCCCCGTATAAACATATTAATTTGTGCTAAGAGAAGGGATTTGGCTAGACTGAGAGATGGAAGAACCAATCTTATAGAATGGTCTTTCTCAAAACTAGTATTTTATATTTATCGACATATTGCTGTAGTGTGAAACTTCTATTCATCCAGTGTTTTTCTAGTTACCTAGATTTGAAACAATTATTTTGGTTGCCATATACTTTTTCTTTTAAACACAAAGCCCTGTCTCTTTTTCTTTCCATTTATCAGTTTTAGTGATGCTTACCTCTCCATTCTTACTATGCAGCGAGCACTAATCTCACCCTGATTATTGCAGCACAATATTTATTTATTACTTTGCTTGCAGACTTCCTATCATCATGGACTTTATTTTTCTTATTTTTTTTTTCTCTCCATTGTGTCTTTTCCTACCTTTTATTATAGAAATGCTATCCGTCCTTCAAGGGACAGTTCATGGATTGCTCACTCAGTTTATATCAGTGCCTCCTTTCCCCATTAGTCAGACAACAAATATTTCTTGATCACCTGCAATGTGCAATGCACTGTTTTGGGATCTGGGATTATTTTTGAATATATAACTGTATAGTACCACTAATTATAATTGAATTGTGTCATGCCTATTTTTTACCTCCTAGGTTGTAAATACCTGGATAACAATGACTATATTATACTTGACATTTCTTTTATATTATCCTCAGATTTCTTCTTACTGCTAAACATGCTGGAAACATTTAATAAACACTTTGAAAAAAATGTTTTCCTTCATTTCAGGAGTGGCAATGCGCACAATCAAAAGGTTGCTTCTTTTTAGAAGAAGACAGTGAAATCATTAGCCATCAATACAGGATGCAAATAGCTCAGAGATCCATGGTTTATCTAACAATTAAGCCATTAAACCTGAGTCAAGTCGAAGGCAAGTTTAAATTTTCTGTGTATTTTTTAAAATGTCATATTGTGCTGTCTATGAAAACACCTATGTAATTATTTGATAGTCCTACTTAGTGAAGAAAATAATCTGCCTAAGTAAGAAACATATGGTTACATTTTAAAGAAATACCGTGTTAGCTTATACTTAACTGCGTATCATATTATGCAAAACAAGTAAATTGCTTTGTGTATATGTTTAAAGCATGTTTTAATTAATTTAAAAGCAAAAACATACTGTCTCCTGGTTTCCTCGTGATATAGAATTAACATCTTATTTGCTCATTAATCCTTAACTTTTTCCATTTATCAATTTTTAAAAAATAATGTATTTAAGAGAAGTTCTATAGGAGCATAATTCGGGACAGTATGAAACTGCCAGTGTTTTTTAATACCTACGAAGTCCTGTGTCATACAGCTTAGACATTCCTTCATGATCTTTGCATTCATGGTAATATTCTTTCTTTTGTACACAGTTGCTAGAGAAAAGTTAGTAATTTCTTAGTGTCTAAAATGATTTTTAATTAGTGAAAGATGTCTAGAAAGGGGTTTTCCCTTTTTTTAATATTGATTGTTATAAATTGATCTTTATTTTTCTTGTGTTTATGTATAAACATTTTCTTATTAGAGTGTTTTTCTCCCACCCCTGTTCTTTTTCCCCCTTAGATATTCTGAAAGTTTTCATTAATATCTTGTAGGATGCTTACAACATTTGGTAGTTGACAGTTTTAAGTGACGATTACAGTAGTCATTTTTTCAGAGAGGGGAATCAAGAAAGCCTTGAAAATTCAATGTAGTTGTTAATTCTTTGTATTTTTAGGAATATGATTCCTTTATTCATTTATTTAACAAATATTTACTGAGACCCTGTTATCTGACAAGCATCATTATGGCACAGTGGTTAAGAGCTCAGCTGCTAACCAAAAGGTGAGCAGTTTGAGTCCACTGTCTGCTCCTTGGAAACCCTGTAGGGCAGTTCTACCCTGTCCTATAAGGTTGCTATGAGTCGGAATTGACTCATAGGATACATTAGAGTACAAAAAATACAAAAACCCCTGCTCTCATGGGGCTTACATTCTAGTGGGAGAAACAGACAATAAATAACAGACATAATAAACAGTAAATGGCATGGTATGTTGGAAGGTGATAAGTGCCATGGGAAAAACAAAGAGGGTAGGGGGAATATGGGTTGCCATTTAAATTGAGGGGTTAGTGCATGCTTCATTAAGAAGGTGACATTTGAAAGAGTCTTTGAGCAATCTTCAAGAGAGATGTATCAATTATCAGTTGCTGTATAACAAACTGTCGCAAAACTCAGTAGCATAAAACAGTTAAATATTTATTCACTCACAAGTCTGTAGGTGAGCTGGTGAGTTCTGGTCTCAGCCAGGCTTGACTTTTTTCTGAGGAGCTCACTCAAGCATCTAAGGTCAGCTGCAGGTTATGCGGCTTTGCTGATCTTAGCTGTACTCTCATATGCATGGCATCTCAGCTAAGACAACTTGATTTTGCCTCATGTGATCTCTCATCCTCCAGTAAACTAGCCTGGACTTGTTCTCATGGCATGTTAGGGATCTGAGAGAGAAAACGAATGCACAATAGAACCTCCTGAGGTCTGGGCTCAAAACTGGCACAGTGTCATTTCTGTTACCTTCTGTTGTTCATAGCAAGTCACAAGGCAAGCCCAGACTGATGGGGTGGGGAAATAGACTTGACCTCTTGATGGAAGGAACTGCAAAGTCATATGGCAGAGGGCTGTGGATACAGGGACGGAAATGTGGCCAGTTTTTAGTCTTCCATTGAAGGCAAGGGTGTAAGCTTTGTGGATGTAGTGGTGACAGAAGAGATGGACAAAGAATGGAGAAAGTGGCGGAGCATTCCAGGTAGTGGGAATACTCTGTGCAGAGGCTCTGAGTTGAGAGTATGCCTGGTGTTAGAAGAACACCGAAGAGGCTGGAGTAGCTAGAGTGAAGTCAGTAAGGGAAGGGTAGTAAAGATGAAGACAGGGAGCAACAGGGGTCAAAATCAGGTAGAGATTTTTTTTGCCATAATGAGGACTTGAGCTTTTACTCAGAGAAATGAGGAAGCCTTAGGAGTTTTTTTCTTATGGTAACTGTCAAGACTTTTTCTTTATCTTTGAATTTGCAGCAGTTTGAATATGTGTCTAGGTGTTTTTTTGTTTATGTTTTGTTGTTGTTGGTATTTGTTGGTTTTTTTATTCTGCTTGGGTTCTCTGAACCTTCTTGAATTTGTGGCTTGGTATCTTTCATTATTTTTAGAAAACTCTCTGTCATTATTTCTTCCAATATTTCTTCTGCCCTCTCTCTTCTTCCACTTGTACCTGACGTCTCTTCCTCCCATGCTTCATCACAGTTAAGCCATGCTCACATCCCTTCTCTCATTGAAAGGATCTGTCCCCTTGGATTTCAGACTACTTACTTTCCCTGTGACCTAAACTATCTGATGGATGCTAGGAAAGTTACGATTTTTTAGTTTATCCACTTTTTCTTGTTGATAGGTTAGGAGCAACCCTCCTCTAACTCTCTACTTCCTTAGAGGATTTTGAGTACATGCAGGACATAATCTGACTTACATTTTAACAAGAGCAGTCACGTGGCTGTGTTAAAAATAGACTGAAGGGTACAGGGCTAAAAGCAGGGAGTCCAGCTTGGATGCTATTTCAGAATTCCAGGAAAGGACTGATGATGCTTTGACCAGGGTGTAGGTAATAGACAAAAAGTGGAGGTTCCCAATGAGGATCGGTTATATATATGAGAGAAGAAAAGCGTTAAAGATGATTGTTAAGATTTTTGACCTGTGCAACTGGAAGGATTCAGTTACCATTAACTGAGATGGAGAAGAGTATAGGTGGGCATTTGGTTGTTTTTGTTCGTTCGTTTATTTTCAGGGGCTGGTGAGGAATCCAGTTTTGGACATAGAAATCCAAGTGGAAATGTCAAATAGTCATTTGGAGATTCAGGTCTAATGTTCAGAGGAAAGGTCCTAGCTGAAGATACAAGTTTTGCAGTTGTCAGCACATAGATAGTGCCTGACATCTCTTCCTCCTGTGTTCCACCGCAGCTAAGCCTGTGCTCCCATCCCATCTCTCCTTGGAAGAGTTTGTCTTTCCTTGGATTTCAGACTACTTGGTTGCCTTGTGGCCTCAGCGATTGGATAGGTTCAAGAAAAGTTATGATTTTTAGAAAGTGAGTATGTAGAGAATGTCTCTCAGAAGGTCATTGTATATAGGTATATCCCTTACTGCAGATGCTGTGATGGTTACATATAAAAATTGAATGTGTATTTCTAAAACATATCCAAGGGGGAAAGAAACCATTAGCTTCTTTCTTAGATAGGAAAGAGTAAGTTATGATTGCTTATTTTAAGGTGTTTGGGTTTTTTTGTTTTATAGGAAAACCATCCCCTTGGTTATCCGTTGATACTGCCTTGTATATTCTTAAGGAGAATGAGAGTCAAGCAAATCTACAGCTCGTGTGTTTTACTGAACTGCGAAATAGAGAAGTATACACATTTATCTTCTAATATTTCATTTGAAAATATAATATGAACTAAGGTTTGGAGAAAGTAATATTTTTTCTGTATTTATTTTCTTTTGTTTTTTAAACTTTTGTGTCCTCCATTCCAATTAAGGTATATACAGTACCTAAACACTATACATATTATGTTTTATTAATTGTGAGGGACTTTTTCTTGCTTAAGGAGCCCTGGTGGCATAGTGGTTAAGCACTCAGCTGCCAACCGAAGGGTCGGCAATTCAAACCCACCAGCTGCCCCACAGAAGAAAGATGTGGCATTCTGCTTCCACAGAGATTACAGCCTTGGAAACCCTTTGGGGCAGTTCTGCTTTGTGCTACAGGGAATCGTCTTCATGGTACCGCGTTTTTTTCTTGCTTGCTGAGATTGGTTAAGCATTGAGGACTGATGAACAGTCTTGCCTTCATAACTTATAAGTGTGTGACATTGGGCAAATCACTTATAACTTCTTAGTACTTCGCTTTTCTTTTCTCTAAATGCCCTGATGCTTCACACGTGAACATTGTTTTGTTGTTATATTTAATAAAAATGACTCATGCCAGTGGATTTTTCCCTCTACATATAAGCAATTCAAGACTTTGGAAAAGTTGTTTCAGATGTTTGTCTTAGTTATACAACTACTGCAAAAAGAAAAACTTCAAGATTACTGTCCTCAGGCTTGACTGATATTTTGGTTTAAAATAGTTTGACATGAAGAAATGCTTTTAAATGATTTTATATGTTGCCTATGGGTTTGTTCTGATCTTTTCTAATTATATATTTACTCAGAGGCCAGATATGTGAGGCAGATACATAAACGTGGCTATTTATTTTATGAGGACTACAAAATACATCTGCTATACAACAACAGGAATAATACTATTCAAGGGTTTATTGCAATATCGTATTTAATCTTTATATAGGCCCAATGACAGACAAACATTTCCCTGATGGAATGTATATAAAAGTCTTTATTGTAGGCTTCCTAACAGACAAGGATAGTTATAGGCAAGAAACAAATAAAATGACAGAAGTTAATGTTTTGACTAAACTCCTTTTCAGAACTGACTACAAAGTTAAGTTCAAGATAAAGCATTGTCGAAAACAGTTGCTTTTCCCATTTTGTTTTGAGTAAAATGACTTATAAGATTGCATGTGTAAAAATGTTAGTCTGTAGTAAGCCTGTATATAGGCTTCTGTTTATCTGTAATATGTCATATTTACAAAGGATTTTTTATTTTTAGTTTTACAGTTACTTTCTTTAAGAGTTTTGTGCTCATGAAAGACTTTCCATTTGCCATCCACAGTGGCAAATTCAAGGTTAGATGTGGAGGTAAGAGAGGTTGATGGAGTAACATATATTAGGAAGCATGAGATTTGATTTTTCATTCTTGGATATCAGTCTTCATCTGGCCAATCTAAAAGATAGGGTTTCCAGAAAGCAGATTTGGTCAACCTTTAGTCTTTGAAATGACCCTCAGTTATATTGGATTACTTCTTGTATCAAAATAAACATGGTCACTTTAGGATGACTTTGATTTCTCTGACGTGTCAGGATAGAAATAGGGCTAAACCTAGAATTCAGAGGAGCAACTTTATTTTGTGCATAAGCCCCTAGGATGACCTAAATGTACCTGGATTTTGAAAGGAATTTTTGGACACAAGATTCCCTAGGACTTTTCTGTGCTGAAAAGCAAATTGCTGTTTGCATGCCTATTATACACTGCTAGAAAATGCTTTGATTTAATATATTTGGCAGAGACAACCCCTAGCTTTTACAGGAAACCTTTGGGCTCTGGAAAGCTCTTAGGAGTTCCAGAGAGAGATACCACTTTGCTTTTTTTTTTAAGAACAAAAGAATAAAATGTTTTCCTGTACAAATGTCCTGGTACTCATTATAAATATCCAACATTTGATAGAAAACAGTGTTTTGTGTAAGGCAGGTTTATCTGGGATTCTGCCATCTTGTTTTATAGTCTGTATTATCATACATAACAGTGAAATTCCAGTGCTTGTGTCCATATAATTGGGCTCTTAAAAATAGTTATTACATGCAAATAGTGAACTCTTTAAAAATAGTTTGTATCATTGAAATCTGATTTAAAAATTATATATTACTATTTGAATGAAATTAGAGAATTGTAGTCTAGAAAATTAGTACTCTTTTAAAAAGGAGCTCAGTGTTTTCATTAAAAAAAAAAATCACCCTTGGGGTGCTCCGCTGGTCTCATCCCTTCGGGAGCGGGGGAGGGTGAAGAGAGCAGGATGCAGGGACAGGGTTGGTCCTAGGGACTGGTTGTCCGCGGCTGCCGGGGCCTCCACCGGACTGAGTCCCGTGCGGCTGGATGGTGCCTGGCTGCCACCGCTGGCTGCTCTGACCGGGATCGCGGCAGGGGGTTCTGGGCGGAGCTGGAGGGGGATGTGGAGCATGGTTCTGGCTCACAGGAAGGGGACCAGGTTTGCTGGCCTGGGGGAGGCTGGGGAGGCCCCGAGAGTGTGGCCCCCGGGCGCCCTTTTGGCTCGGTGGTGGGGTTGCCTCCGGGGTTCACTGTTCGGCCTGGGGGTGGACAGCCCGGTGGAACCGGTTGGGATTGGCGGGGTGCAGGGGTCCGGTGACGGGGGCCGGGCGGCAGAGGGGGACGGGGA